ACATGGTCTCACCAAGTTCTGGGCTGGTCTTGAACCCGCAGTCTCAGGCAATCCACTCACCTCAGCCTCCCAAAGTGCTGGGATTACAGGCTGAGCCACTGAGGCAGGCCTTTTTTTCTTTTTCTTTTGTCTCCTGATGATTAGGGAAGAGGATTCGGTACTTAGGAGCAAAGAAAGAAGTAGCTTGGAACTTTTGAGATGATCCCTAACCTACTGTACTTGCTTTTACAATGTGTTAGCAGAAACCAATGGGTTATAAATGTAGAATGATGTGCTTTCTGCCCAAGTGGTAGTTCACCTTGGTCTGCTTTGTTAAAACCATAAATACAACAGAACATTAATAAATGTCTCCTGTGTAGCACCTTCTACTGAAGAAAAAAAAGGAAGGGAGAGAGGGAGGGAGGGAGGGAAAAACAGGCCAGGCAGGGTACCTCACACCTGTAATCCCAGTCTGGGCAACATAGTAATACCTTGTCTCTACAAAAAAATTAAAAATTAGCCAGGCATGGTAGCAAGTGACTGCAGTCCCAGCTACTCAGGAGGCTGAGGCAGAAGGATCGCCCGAGCTGTGTTCCCGCCACCACACTCCAACCTGGGAGACAGAGTGAGACTCTGACTCAGAAAGTACACATTTGTACTTGGAAATACTGATCCAGAACAACCAAGACCAATATATACTCCAGTAACGATGGAAAAATATTTGGGGGAAAATATCCCATGGGCATCTAGGCAAAAACAACAAAGCATTTATGGGGCAAAGTAAGTCACATTGTCATAATATTGTTTACAGCAATGCTTTATGTCAAAAAGAACACACTTAGGTCACTCAAAGAAAATGTGACCCAAGAATTTTGTCCAAACTTACTTTCAAGTAAAAGGCCACAGATAAACTGCCACGAGCACAGAAAAACTCAGGGAATATTCTTCTCACTGAAGAATCTACTAACAAATGTGACCACCAAAACGATTGGACAATGACACCCAAAGTGGTAGTGAACATGAACCATATCTTTATTCGAAGAGTAAAAAAATTAATCAGTCATCTTTGAAGGGCACCAGGGAACCAGGTCTGTTTTGACAACTGGTAAATAAACTGAATTTTCCCTACCTTTCCTCTATGAACTACACTAAAAGGTCATGTGAATAAGGTGAAGTTTCTCTGTATAAAAATATTCTAACAAAGACAAAGTAAGAACTAAAAGATTACTGGGCAACCCCTCCCACTGTGGAAGCTTTTCTATTCTCTCAATAAATCCTGCTTTAAAAAAAAAAAAAGCCGGGCTCGGTGGCTCAGCCTGTAATCCCGCGCCTTTGGGAGGCTGAGGTGAGTGGATTGCCTGAGCCCGCGGGTTCGAGACCCGCCTGGGCAGCGAGACCTCATCTCTACAGTAAATCAAAAAATCAGCCAGGCGTGGTAGCGCATGCCTGTAATTCCAGCTACTCAAAAGGCTGAGGCGGAAGGATCGCGGGAGCCCAGCAGG